TTAAAAAACAGATGAGTGGCCATTATGATAGATAAAAATCTGTTATTACTTTTGATATATTATACCTTTAAACATTGTTAATTTTGTGTGTGCACATGTGTATATGTGATCCACAGCACTTACGTGGAGGTCAGAGGTCAACTTCCAGGAGTTGGTTTTCTTCTTTCATATGTGGGTTCCAGGGACTGAACTGAGGTATCAGGCTTGGTAAAAGCGTTTTTTGCTTACTGAGCCATCTCAATGGCTTTATGTATTGTTTTAATACAAATATGCAAAATATACACTAAAAGAAGTATATTAAAATTTGTCTGTTTTCTTCTGTCCATTTCTCCCCTCCTCCCTCTTTCTCTCCAGGGTCTCACTCTGTAGCTCCGACTGGCCTAGAACTCATTGTGTAGTCTGGGCTGGCCTAGAATTTGTGGCAATCCTCCTGCTTCAGTTTCCTAAGTGCTGAGATAACACTTGTGAGCCTCCATGCCTGGCCACACTTTTTAAAAATGAGGCCAAGATATTGCTGATGTGTTTCCATCACTTTATTCAATCTTTCTGCCTGGCTTTCTGGGAATTACAGATAGCAGGGCTGAGCATACACCAGATGAGGATCAACGGAGAAGCAGAATGTCAGCTTCGGCTGCAGAGTAACCTTCAAGGTAATTTAATGAATCTGACGTTTTTACACAGTCTTGAACCTTCTGGGAGTGGAGCTACACTGCACATCCTGCTCCAGGCCAATTCCCAAAGGGGGCGTGACTGTTATTGGGGAGCAGTGCCATGATGGGGGGCAGATCTGTTTTTATAGAAGAGGCCACACCCTTGGCGACAGCAGGCTTGAAGGATGCCCAGGGTCGGTGGATAAAGATAATGAATGGTTTCTCTTTGAAGGACCAAAAATTAAAATTAATAAAAGTTTAAAAACTTGGGCCTGAAAAGCGAACTTCTAGTGACTGGGAATGCTGTGACTGGCACCTGAGTCCAGCTCTCAGAAAACAGGAGGTGACACTCCACCACTTGGGTCAAAATTCCTGTCTGCTAATTGCTCAGAGTAAGGTTGTAAAGATCCCCAGGGGATAACTGACAGACCTTGTGACCCTGTAACCCTGCAATCCGTGGCCCTGTCTTATCTTACTCAAATGTACCTTGCTTAAAATTATAGTTACTGCTTTACTCTGTACTTTGTATGACCTTAGGTAACCATGGAAACTCTGAGATTTGGGGCCTTCAACCTTGCCTTCTGCCCCTGAAAAAGCTTCTCTTTTTGGCTGGTTGGCATCTCATCACACCGTGTTCCAGTAGGAGGCACGGTGCTGTTGGTCTCCACATCCCGCAGGAGGGAGAGTTATCTGGTGAGGCTGACATTCAGGGAGCCATGATTTCTAAATCAGGTGAAACTAATCTATGAGAATGTGAGAACTTTCTTACACCTCCTACTTGCAGAGCAGGCATGATGTTCGGGATGACTGTGCCTCCACAGACTCTGCAGACTCCCTGGGAAGATGTGCCAAGCCCTGGACTTGCAAGTGGAATTGCAACAGCAAGCTTGTCCCACAGACTAAAACTACATCCTCTGCTCAGCAATAAACTGAGATTTGAACTTGACCTCATTTCTCTTTCTGAACTCAGAATGTAATTATCACAGTTCAAAATCCAATAGTAATCAAGTCGTTCCTTTATTACTATTCTACAAATAGTTACTGTCTGTATTATCCATATCTCTGTGTGTGTGTGTATGTGTGTGTGTGTGTGTGCCTGTTCAGGTGCATATGTGGGAACATTTGGAGGCCAGAGGACAGCCTCAGGAGTTATGATGTACATCTTTGTTTATCCATGAAAGGATCTATCACTGGCTTGGAATTGGCTAGAGTAGTTAGCCAGTGCCCCTCCCCCTCTCAGCTGTCCCCTCCCTCTCTCAGCTGCCCCTCCCCCTCTCAGTTGCCCCTCCCCTCTCAGCTGTCCCCTCTCACAGCACTTTGAAGATGCAGGTGCTGGATCTTTCATTATGGGCTCCACAGGTCCTGACTCTGTTTTTTCTATGATCTATTTCTCCTGTGCTATTCAACTCGAGTAATTTCTAATGTCCCATCACCCAGGTGACTGATTCTTTCAGCTGTCCCATTTATCCTATTAGTAAGCCTTTTAATATCAACTATTGTACATTTCAGGTCTAAACTTTCCATTTGGTTTTGTAGCCATGGGAAAAACATGGATGGACTCTTACTTGTTTGTAGTTGATAGCTAATTTTGAAGGTTATACACCTGATCCACACATTATTGGTGGCACATAACCTCTGAGACACGTGGATATGATTGCCTAGGTTACTCCTCAGGGACCTGAAGGTCACTTCTGCTGAAAGCACTGACTTTTCACATGGGCAAACGGTTGACTCAAGAATGACTAAGACAGGATGAATCAAGTTTGGTATTGCTGCCTCTGTATCAGTGTCCTCTGCTGTCTTAAACTTTGGGCCAAATTTCCACTCAACTCTTCACATAGTCATATTAACCAGTCAGAAATATCTTCTCTGGAACTATACATGCAATGTAACCTAAACCTACTTAAGCCTTGTTCCCCTCCAGGGCTGATGATACCCTCAAGAGAAAGGCAGCTAAGGCAGCATCCTACTCCAGGTCAGTGGAGCACTGTCTAGAAGTCTCCAGCCAGCAGCTCTCTCTTGCCTAGTGCTCCAGGCCCCTTTTCTTTCCCTCAGTTCTCCAAGAGTCTTCGCCAGTTACACCAACCATCTTTGGTTTTAAGTAAATCTTTTTCCTTGGCCCAGCAACCTGTACTTGGGTCACTGGCATTTTAGAATGGCGTGGCACCAGACATGGTTTGGCAGCAACGCCTTAAATGTACATCTTCTACTTGTTCTGCAATTTTTGGTGTTGGGAATGAACCTGGGGCCTCACACATACTAGGCAAGTGCTCTTCCACGGCACTGATTCCCAGCCTGGCTCCGTGTTTTGTTTGCTTCACATAGGTTTATAATTGCTCAATGAAGCATTTACATCAATTGATTAGAATGCAAAGAAATAGGTGTGTGTGTGTGTGTGTGTGTGTATGTGTGTGTGTAGAGGTCGGAGGACAGGTCTCAGGGGAATCATTTCTCTCTGCCACTTTGTGGGACCTGGGGATTAAATTTAGGCCATCAGGCCTGTGCAAATGCCTCTACCTGCTGAACCATCTTGCCAGCTGTGCCTTGGTGGATTCTGACTTCTCAGATGTTTGTAAAACAGGGTTAGTAATATCTTTTTCATAGGAGCATCATGAAGATTATGATGATTAAAAGTGCTAATGCTCACCAAGTGTTTAGTGTAACACTTGGGGTTTAACATGCATTTCATAAGCTTCAGTTATTATTAAACCATTCTCCCAAGAGCTTGGCACAGTGGATTACTGCTAATCAGTTACTAAACTCCTAGCGGAGCAGAAGGCTATGTGTGTGGTGTGCTTTGGATGCTACTGGGAGATGCTTTCCTGTTTCCCTGATGCTCTGAAATCCAAAACGTTACATGCTTTCCTTAAACACTGCTTTTTCCAGAGAGCCTCCTGTTTAAAGGACATCTTCCAAGAGGGTGTCCCTTTCTCCTTGGTGTGGCTAGTTTATTAGATGCTAGGCTATTTTCTTTAAATGGTAGCCTAGGATCAGTGGGGACATCCAAGGGCTGGGATTTATTGTCAATTGGAAAATAATGTTAGAGCCTCTGAAAGATATCGACAATGTACTAAAGACAAAAACATTGCACAATATTCTGTCTTGTTCAACCTCTCTAGTAATAAGTGCAATTTCTATCTTCCTAGGGATGAATTTACACAGCCTGTGTTCCCCAAGTAAGACTATCTACCATGCTGCACATATCAAGCCTGCCCCAGGGCGCCACCTGCTGACTAAGTGCTTCCGCTCCCGCATTCCGGGCTGGCACGGTCCGGCCTTTATAGCACTAATCTCATCCGAGCCCACCCGACAGCACTCTGAACCCCTCCACCTCCCCACGACGTCAAGGAGTCCCTTGGTTTTGTACCTAGGTGAGACATCAAGGTTTGTTTCCCAGTGACCTTGAGGTTTGGCATCCAAGCCAGTTCTCTGGCAGATGGTGGCGCCTGAGGCTTAGGTTCATATCCCCCGAATAAAGGTACTTCTTGCCACGTTTTCCCAGCTTGGAGCTGAGGGAATCAGGCCATCATGACCTTGACCAGTTTGGAAGGAGAGAGGAGTGACTCACTGCACCGTCCCCATCCATTACCAGTTTGAGGTCTCAGAAAGCGTAGGACCCTATTTTAGTCACCAGAATTTGTCATCATCCGGCGCTGTTTTCCTCATTACACAGGCACGGGAGAGGAACAGGGGGGCAAGCCTTGGAGGCTGTGACGCTGTCCTGAAGGAGCACGTGGGAAGGGGCGGGGTGGGGGTGGGGGTGAGGTCTAGAAGGCCGAAGCAGGTCACAGATTTGACCCCACGAAATCTCCCAGGTTCTGTTTGGGCGATTTAGAGAAAGAGAAGACCTAGGAAAGAGAGCTGAGCCTTGGATCCTCCAACCTTGGTTTTCCTCCAAAGCACGAGAAACCTCTCCTAGCTCCATTCCTCTGAATTTTCCACAAAATAAATTCTGGCGTTCTAGAGACTACTGGAGAGCTCGCCAAACCAACTGTCCAGGACTTCTCCTTTAAGGCTCTTGGCTCCGCCCATCACGCCGCGCAGTTTAAGGCCCCGCCCCCTCACCCTCTTCCGTTGAGCTGGGCCGCAACGCGGCGGTCCGGGTCCCTTTAAGGCCGAGCCCCGCCCCCTGGCTCCCGCCCCTTCCCCTCCCCCAGCCCACCCCGGGTGGCCCGGCGGGTCCTACGGTGCGGCCCGCGGCGGTGAGCACTGGAGCCTAGGGGGCGCGGGGTCGGGGCCGCGAGTCTCGGCTGCTGCGGTGGCCTTGCGGGGCGGGGGCGGGGGCGGGGCTGGGCCAGAGGGGCTGGGGGCGCGGGGCCGGGACCGGCCCGGCGGGGGAGGGGCTCAGGTGACGCGGGCCGGGATCGGGTCTCGCAGCGCACCCCGGGCTTGGCGTGCCGGTCCAGGTGTGCGGTCGGCGGCGTTCCCGCTCTCCCCGGTCGGGTCAGAGTCCCCGTCCAGTCGGGTTGATGACGCGGTGCCCGTGCTCCCCAGGGGTCCAGGCCCATTTGTCGGGCTGCTGTTGGCGGGTGGTGTCTGAGATGCAGTCGTGACAGCTGCGGGAGGACCCTAGCCGGAAGCCGCGGCTTGGAGTGGGGAGGCAGGACGATACAGACTCCCCTTGGCCTCGGACACAGCTTGCGGGTGGCCAGCGGCAGGACGCCTGGCCCTGGAGGCCTGGCCCGCGTGGGACAGACGTGGGCCCACCCGCTCTACATAGGGGCCGAAGCGTGCGTTGGGAGAGACTGCCCCTGGGACCACAGTTCTAATCTTCTGTCCATCAGGGAGCTGGTGGTCACCATGGCAATGAGGGAACTGGTGGAGGGCGAATGTGGGGGTGCCAACCCGCTCATGAAGCTGGCCACCCACTTCACCCAGGACAAGGCCCTTCGGCAGGAGGGACTGAGGCCTGGCCCCTGGCCCCCAGGAGCCTCAGCTGCAGAGACGGTGAGTGTTCTAGAGCGGGAGAGCTCATTTGTCAGCCCATGGCTGCCTTCTCTGTTGTTCTAAGTAATAGCTGTTACCACGCAGTGACAGTGGTGTGAGCCCTGTGCATCTTTGCACAGAGGAGGACAACTGTTTTATAGACAAAGAAGCCGGGGCGTCGTGAAAGCTTGCCTCAGTCACCTGAGCAGTAGTTAGAGCTGGGGTGCTCCGGATGCCTGTGACCCCCCCTCATTGTGTGTATTGCCTCTTCTACATTCCTTAGGTTTCCAAGCCTTTGGGAGTAGGTTCTGAAGATGAGGTAAATACAACAAGTTTCTTGTCTGTCTGTCTGTCTGTCTGTCTCTTTTGGTCTATGATGATGTTTTTTTAAACTTTTAAACAGTCCACTCATACTTCACTTTGAACTCTCTTCACCAAATGAGATTTGTGTGTCAATGTTTTCTTCTACTCTTTTTGGTTCCCAAATTTACAGATAGACTTTTTTCCTTCGCTGTCTCCAGTGTCTATTTTCTTTCTGTCTGACATCAGTATCCCCATCCAGTGGGCCCTGCCCCTCTCTGAGCCCCCGATCCTAACGGTTCATCTCACCATCTCTCTGTAATAGTTGGTGGCAGAGTTCCTGCAGGACCAGAATGCACCCCTTGTTTCCCGTGCCCCTCAGACCTTCAAGATGGATGACCTCCTGGCAGAGATGCAGGAGATTGAACAGTCAAACTTTCGCCAGGCTCCTCAGAGAGGTGGGTTGAGGGCCTGGTGGGAAGAGCAGTGTTTTCTGTGCACAGAGGACTCCTATCCTTTGACTTTGCTGGTGTCAGCAGAGTGAGGAGGCAAAGGAGGTGTCATCCAGGAGTGACGGGCGCTTGTTTCCCTTTCCGAGTCTACTCTTGTCTCTTTTCAGCCCCTGGGGTGGCAGATTTGGCCTTGTCTGAGAATTGGGCCCAGGAGTTTCTTGCGGCTGGAGATGCTGTGGATGTAGCGCAGGATTATAATGAGACGGACTGGTCCCAAGAATTCATCGCCGAAGTCACAGGTGAGGCTTGTGGGAAAATCTGTACTATTTGTTTAAAAGTTCTGTACTGAAGTACTAATTCCTCTTAGGGTCACTTTTAGCTGTAATGACTTCTTGATTCATTTCTGTAGGACATTAGATGTGACTTCTTGTACTAATTCCTCTTAGGGTCACTTTTAGCTGTGATGACTTCTTGATTCATTTCTGTAGGACATTAGATGTGACTTCTTGTAGTAATCATAGGGAATCAAAACATATTAACAAGAAAACCGGGTTTGTTTGTTTTGCTTTGCTTTGTTTTGGAGACAGGGTTTTTCTTTAGCTTTGGAGCTTTCCAGCTGTCCTGGAACTCGCTCTGTAGACCAGGCTGGCCTTGAACTCACAGAGATCCGCCTGCCTCTGCCTCCTGAGTGCTAGGATTAAAGGTGTGGGCCACCACCATCTGACTTTCTTTGTTTTGTTTTGTAGAAAACTGGGTTTGAAAGAAGAAAATAAAGAGGGGGAGGAGAGTGAGAAAGAGGAGATGGCCATTTAGCCTAGTGGGGAGAGCCAGAGATGGGATGGATGGTCCAGGAAGAGAGAAATCATCACCGGAGCACCTGGGAGTCTGGCATCAGCCATCTTGAGTAGAACTGGGGTCTTGGAAAGTAGGATTGTGGGGTTCAGAAGTTAGGCCACCTCTGTATCTGTAGGTCTCTTAGCTCTAGATTAAACAAATTGTGGATGGAAAAAATTTGGAAAATCCTTATGTCTGTACTAAAAGTATACATATTTTCTGAGTTTTTAGACAGGGTCTCTTGTAGACTAGGCTGTTCTCTAAATCCCTGTGTAACACGTCTCCCTACTTCAGCCTCTTGAGTGCTGGGATTCCAAGTGTGAACCACTGTGCCTGGCTCTGTCTGTGTGTGCGTGTTTGTATAGGCATTATTTTCTAAACCATGTGATTACTATATACATGGCATTTATATTATATACTGGCTATTAAAAATCATCTAGGGATGTTAAAATAACAGGAGGATATGTGTGGGTTATATGCAAATAGATCATTTCATATAAGAGGCTGGAATCTGTAGAGTTTTGTGTCTGTATGAGTTCCAGGAACCAGTCTATTATGGTTATTGAACGAATGGTGTTTGAGGGTAAAGGTCATCTATGATGATAAAATAATATTAGCTCTATGTAGTTATTGTGCTCTGAGCTCTCTGTTAAGTGTATTGAATTTCTTGTTTGTTTAAACTCAAGAACCCAAGTTCTAGCTACTGTTTTTAGAATCACTTTATAGATAAGAATACTGAGTTTTTAAGGTAAAGTAACTTGCTTAAGGTAACAATCTTATAAGTGATTTAGTTTTTGTTTTGCTTTTTTTTTTCTTTTTGAAACAGGATTTCTCTGTGTAACAGTCCTGGTTATCCTGGAGCTCACTCTGTAGACCAGACTGGCCTTGAAGTCACAGAGATCCACCTGCCTCTGCCTCCAAAGTGCTGGGATTAAAGGCGTGTGCCACCAACGCCCAGCTAGTTTTTTTTTAATAGATTAGCTTTTATTTATTCTTAGGCATTTCCATACATGTAAACAGTACATCTTGTCCACATGTAACCCAGCTCTCTGGAAGAGCTCCCAACTCCTCTCTGCTCCCTCTCGATACCAAACTTGCCCTGCTGCCTCCCGTGTCCTCTCCTCTTTTCTCTTCTTTTTTGATATTAATAACCCACTGAGGCCAGTTCATGCTGCCTCCCAGATGTCACCTGATTTCGACTTGACCTGCAGGTGACTACAGCTGAAATGAGTCCGTGGGTGCAATAGGCATGCCATGTCCTGAAGACAGTGTGTCACTGCACCCCACGCCATCCTTCGGTTCCTACATTCTCCCCCCCCCCTTCTGAGCTGTTCCCCGGGGAGGGGGATTAGGATGGATGTCCCAGTCAGGACTGAGTGCTCCGTAGTCACTTACTTATTCTCAGCACGTTGATCAGTTCTGAGTCTGCCTAACCTGCTCACCACTGCAGAGAGAGGCTTCCCTGGCCGTGGTTGAGGGCAGCACTGATTTATGGATGAGCACATGTTAGACTGTTTGGCAACACACTGTTTAGGTTTCTCCCTAGGGTGTAGTTGGGGTTTGACTGTGGACCAAGCTGTCAGTCTGTCCTGCCAGGCCTGAACTTTATGCTTTTTCTCTCTTGGCTGCACACTTAATCTTAGCCTAATGTGTGTGTTTGGGGCATCCTCTGCTCATGCCTCCCTGCGGATTGATTGCTCTTCCCACACCTATCAGACTGGGTGAAGGGGAAGGGCAGTCCTCAGGGCAGTCCTCAGCCTTCCTCTTCCTGATCGCGCACTGAGAAGCATTGTTTGCCTTTTTCTTTGTTGAGAAATCCGAGGATGAGAAGAGATATGAATGGAGAAAGTTACAAAAGATTCTAGCCTCTCAGGCAGTCACAGTGTCCTGGATAGTTGAAGGTTTTTGGGTTGAGGACTTAGTTGGCTTCTCCTCTGACCATTTCTTACCCTCCTGAAGGCAGGGCTTCCTCCAAACACAAGAGAAATGCCCCAGAGCCCAGCAATGAGTATAAGCGGTTATAAGTCATTTCACCCAGATGCCCTTTCCTAAAGCAAGGAGAGCAGACAATGTTCTAGGATTTGCTATTAGTTCTAAGCCCTCTGCTAGGCTGAGATTTGGAAACCTGTTACAGTGTCAGTAGGAGACATGATATCCAAAGTCATGCCTACTTGTACCCAGTGGCCGTACTTTTCTAAAATCTCAGTTTCAGAACACTCTCAAGTCTTCCCTGGGGAATTGCCTCAAGTCAGAATCTGAACTAGCCAGAAACCCTCTGCTGGATCGGCCCTTTCAGGTGTCTACACAAACCTTAACCTTAAGCGATACATCTTAGTACAGAAAGACTTCTGCTGGAATGGGTGGGCATTAGTCATTTCCATAATTTAAAACTAACAGACAAAACAACCCAAACTGTGTGTGCAGTGAAGCACAATGTGAGCCTGATTTTATTATAACTGCTTCCTGTCCGTGACATCTTCCCTAATTTATAAATGAGAACAGCCTTAGAAAAACATGTTGGACCTGCCTCACCTGTTTGGTTGTCTTTGGAGAGCTCATCTGTTTTGCACATTCGTTTGCAACTATACCTGCTTCATTCACAGAGGCCCGGATGTGGGTGCTGTGTGAAATTGGTCTCTGTAAAATTGTCCTGTTGTGGTAGGTCTTTGATAGTGAATGAATGAATGAATGTATGTATGGATAGAGATTTGGGAGCAAAATCTGAAAGAAGTGGTTTTCTAGGAATTCATTATTTAAAAGATGTATTATTATTCTTTTATATGCATGGGTCTTTTTGCCTGCATGTTTGTCTGTGTGTCACATGTATGCTTTACCTGCAGAAACCACAAAAGGGCATCAGATCCCCTAGCACTAGAGTTTGAGGTTGTTGTTAGCTGCCAAATGGGGCCTGGGAATTGAACCCAGGCCATCTGGAAGAACCCTTATATAAACCATCAAGCTATCTCTGCAGCCCCAGAGTTCATATTTTAAAATGTTTTTCTCTTAGTGTTTGTAGCTGGTATGTTAGTGATTTAAGTTAACTGCTGTTTTATGGATAAGTAGATTTGAGACAAATCCTATACTTTTAAAAGTCTTACTAGCTATTTTATTTTTTGGTGTTTGTGAGATAATAATCTCACTGTAGCCCTGGTGTGCCTCCAGCTTAAATTTGTGGCTGTCTCTGGTGAATGTTAGGATTACTGGCATCATCCTTATGTGTGCCTTTTTTTTTTTTTTTTTTTTTTTTTTTTTGAGGAAAGGTCTTACTACGTAGCCCATAGCCTGGGCTGACTTTGAATTCAGTTCTGCCTCTGTCTCCCAAGTGCTGGGATTAAAGGTGTGCATCCCTACCACCTGACTAGTTGTTTTTTATATGGACAATTTTATGGTCTTACTGATAATTGTGGAAAAATAAATAAGAAGAAAACATGTAGGAAGCATGTGTTACCACCTCAGTGTCCCCCAGAGGTGATCAGGATTCACTTCGGTATGGTCTGTAGAGCTCATTGGTTTTGTTCCGTTTTGCACGCCATTATCTGTGTGTGAGCAGTGTCATGCAGCGTCATCAGATGTGTAGATTTGCATAAGCGCCATCCCAGTCAAGAGCCATCACCATACGAGACCCATCCCCCCTTTTCTGGTCTCTCATACTACTGATAGAAACATCTGATGTGTTTTCTGGCCAGTCAGAATCTTGTGCTTAGTCAGATCTGGAGATGAAACTCAGCCTGCAGGTATTCTGAATTTAGACAGACTCAGTTGAATACTGTGTGTATTAATCAGGGTTCTCTAGAGGAACAGAAACTTACAGAACACACACAGAGGACAGCCAACAGAGAGTGCAAGCTTCCTTCTTCCATGTCTGGAATAGACGAGACTTCCAGCCATAATCTACAGGCAGGTGTGGGCCAGACTAAAGGTGGATCTTCTCATCTCAAAAGATCCGGACTAAAGGTGGATCTTCTCATCTCAAAAGATCCAGACTAAAGGTGGATCTTCTCATCTCAAAAGATCCGGACTAAAGGTGGATCTTCTCATCTCAAAAGACCCGGACTAAAGGTGGATCTTCTCATCTCAAAAGATCCAGACTAAAGGTGGATCTTCTCATCTCAAAAGACCCGGACTAAAGGTGGATCTTCTCATCTCAAAAGACCCGGGTTGAAAATGAGTCTTCCCACAGTGTGAGGCTCATAGGGCAACGTGAGCTGCCAGCTAGTGCTGTTACAGGGAAAGTTGTCTGAAGCCCGGCAGAATGTGCTGGTGACAGCTCCTCCCTGAATATAGGAGGAGTGTGGAGTACAGGAGCAACCGTCTCCCTGTGGTGTTCCGTGGTGTTCCGGAAGATTTGCCCTCCACGGACAGTAAGATAGCACTAATTTGTTACTGCCTTTTATGTTTTTTGTTTTTGTTTTTTTGAGACAGGGTTTGTGTAGCCCTTTCTGTCTTGGAACTTGCTCTACTGACCAGACTGACCTTGAACTTACAGAGATTTGCCTGCCTGTGCCTCCCGAGTGCTGGGACTAAAGGTGTGTGCGACCACCGCCCAGCCTCTGTGTTTTAATTTTGCAGACACTCCTATGAGCTAACTGTTGTCTGTTTTATAGATAAGGAAGTAGAAACTTAGAAGTTAAAGTAAGTACTCTGAAAGGCACAGTGAGTGATGTGTGGAGTTGGAGTTGGATGAGGGTGACCTTAGGCTCCTCCCCACAGCACTCTCACTGCTTAGGGTAGGGAGTTCTGAGTGACCTTTTAGCTTGCAGCAGAAGTGCTCAGTGAGAAGTGTGGTGCAAACACAGGTGAAGTCCAGGCCGTTGGCTCTAGCTCTGCTTCTTATATGTGACCCAAGAGTCACTGCTCGCTTTGGGCTTTACTGCTTCAGTTTCAGGTCCAAATGGACCCGGTTTTCTGTAAGGATTTCTCACAAAAGGTTGTTCATTTGCTTATTTTATCTAATTCCTTTGTTGGGGCAGGTTCCTAGTGCCAGAAAATTCAGCATCTTGAGAGCAGTATGCATGAGCCAGAGACAAACTGTGTTAGATTGTTGTTGCTATTACTGTTGTGGGGTGCTGGGGATTGAACTCACACCCTTTAGAATGCTAGGCAGGAACTTAACGCTGATGTGCACACCTAGCCCTGAATCGTAGCAATGTAAGGATGGCGTCTCTCACCTGTGTTTCCTTTCCCCCTAAAGTGTGGCGTGTGTGTGATAAAGTCCAGGCCTGTAGATTTTTCTGTTGTTTTGCTATTGATGAGAACATTCTTCAGAAGTGGTTTGTGACTTTGTGGTCTCAGGATCACTCGTGGCCAGAGAGAGAGCAAGGAGGCAATGGAGAGTGAGCAGCACAGTGGTCTTTTCAACAGGACAGGAAGAGGAGCGGGGAGGAGGTGTTACCGAAATCTGCTTTTCAGGGTTCATATGTAAGCCACCGTCTATTTATGGTAAAGGAAGAAGAAAAATGTTACCTAAGGACAGAGCCTGGAGTTGTTGAGGGTTCTTAAAACACGGGATCTGTAAACCCAAACAATTGTCAATCATGCTTTTTATTCTGGCAACCAGGCATGACTTCCTGACAGTTAGGTGTGTGCATTCTGAGACCTTTGGCTCTTTTTCTGTAAGAGTTGACATTATTTTCTCAGAGTTTGAGATTGCTTTGTTGAAATTGTTCAGGCAAGTCTTAGGTAAGGTGGATGTACACCAATACTGAGGGCGTGAGGGGCCTTCTCAGCGCGACAGCAGGACAGTCAGACCTCCCGGTTGGGGGTGGATTACCTTGTCAGCACCTGGGATGTAAAAATGGGGCAGAGTCGAAGCAGCCTGGGCTTGCGTCTTCTCTGTTACCTCGGCAGTGCTCATCGGCTCACTGCTTGGTAGGACAAAGTTCAAGGAGTTGAGAAAGAGTTCAGTGCCCTCATTCATGTTTGTTCCCATGTTCATTGTGCCCTTTGTCACTAGAGTTTCTAAGTAACTTCAGAATTTGACTGAAAAACATGGCCTGTTAAAATGAATCTTGAGTTCAAGGCCAGCTTGGGCTACATAGTGAGACCTTGTCTTAAAAAACCCCAAACAGCAACAAGAGCCAGAGTAGTATTTGTTATCTCTGGGTGGAGGGGCCTGCGGCATCCTAGGAGGTTGCAAGCACCCTGCCTCTCGCCGGGTGGGGTTGTGAGTGCTGTGGTATGTCCTGGTTTGGCACATACTTTTTGTGTAGTTCCTATAAGGAAACCCTGATGCTCCCTGCTTCTTACTGAGGACTGCAGACTTAAAGGAAAAGGATTTGGAAGGATGGTGAAGGGGAAAGGAAGAACGAGGAGGGGAAGTTGGAAAGTAAAGGGTGTGTGTGTGTGTGTGTGTGTGTGTGGGCATGGAGGCTTCTGCCATTATCCTAGCCATAGGCAAATGGGTCTGAATGATTTTGAGGCCAGCCTGGTCTACCTATTGAGCTCCAAGACAACCAGGACTACATACAGAGACATCCCAAAACCTCCATCACCCCAAAAGAAAGAGGGAGTTAATATGGACAAAACTCATTGTATGGATGTATGGAATTGGTATACTGAAGCTCTAACTTTGTACAGCTGATATACACTATTAAAGATTTAAAAACTTTATTTTATGTGTATTTTTTTCCTACTTGTATCTGTGCACTACTTGTATGCTTGGTTCCCTTAAGGTCAGAAGACGACTTTGGGTCTCCTGGAACTAAGATTACAGGCAGCTGTGAACTACCATGTGGTTGCTGGGAATTGAACCCAGATTCTCTAGAAGAACAGCCAGTGCTCTTAACCACTGAATCATCTTTCTTTCTACCCTACTTTCCTTTATAGACGGGCTCTTTCTATAGCCTTCAACTTTCGAGCCTTCTGGTTCAGCCTTGGGAGTGCTAAGTTCTTTCCAGATCCTCCTTAGTAGGTTTCCTGTTCCCAGCTCTCCATAAACTTTCATTCAGCCACTGAAGAGGCTGCTGGGTTCACTAGAATATCTCTCCTGGGGGACTCTCCAGGGTTCTGTGTGCTTTGCTTTGGTTAAGTGTGTCAGTGAGTCTGTACTGCTTTCTCTTTCTCTGACCTTACACTGAAGTCTTGATGAGTTCCACAACTGCCGTTTGCAGACCCCTTGTCTGTGTCCCCTGCCCGATGGGCTGAGGAGTATCTGGAGCAGTCTGAGGAAAAGCTGTGGTTGGGAGAGCCAGAAGGATCTTCTACCACCGATGGATGGTGAGTCCAGTGTCTTTCTTGGATGGCATGAAGAGAGTATGTTTTGGGCAGTTTCCAAGCCTCCCCCATCTCCATTCTCCATCCACACCCAGCTTGCAGGCTCTTCTCTCCTTCATTTGTTAGCGTTCCCACTAGTGTTGTTGGTATTTCACCTGTTGGTGGTAGCCCTAACTATTCCGTTAGGGATTTGTAACTGTCTCGACGCACCATGTTTCCTGGAGCACGCCATTCTCTTCTCCCTCCCTTTCCAACTTCCACTGAGATATCCTTCTTTGCTGTAACTTGTAGCTTGTAGTTCCTTACGGTAGTGGGACAGCATTGTTCTCCCCTCAAGAATGATAGTGTTTGCCGTGGGCCAGGACTGCAGAAGCGCATGGGCAGTGGGTGGATGACGTAATCCTCCTTCTCACCACAGGTACGATGACTACCATCCTGAGGAGGATCTGCAGCACACAGCCAGTGACTTTGTGTCCAAGGTGGACGACCCCAAATTGGCTAACTCTGAGGTGAGTTGCCTCCTGTTGCTGAGCTTGGACTGAAGGCCAAAACCTTCTTTCCCTTTCCCTACTGTGCTGTAAAGAGGGGCTAAGATTCTAGAGCTGTCTTCCCTCTGGGGAACAGAGATTTTGGATCTGGCTGCATGTTGCCACTATTTCCCTCATTTCTTTGTCTACTAACTAACCCGTGGTCTTTCCTGTGCCTTCTCAACTCTGTGGAGGCAGAGCATCCCCACCCCCATGTGTTTGATCTCTGCTGTTTTCTTTTTAGGGTCTTTAGCATTGTCTTGATTTGCAGCTAGAGATGTTTATAGGGAGGGGTGAGTGCAGGGTCTCCTTGGGCATAGTTGAGAGTGTGCACCTAGAAGTCCTGTCCCAAGGTGCCTCTGTGTGTCTCTGTGCCCCAGTTCCTGAAATTCGTGCGACAGATTGGCGAGGGGCAGGTGTCCCTGGAGTCCGCTGCAGGGTCGGGCCGAGCACAGGCAGAACAGTGGGCAGCAGAGTTTATACAGCAGCAGGTAGGACATTGTCACTCCCCAGCCCACCTGAAGACTGCTGCCTGAGGCTGGATCAGTGTTCAGTGGGAAGGGGTTTTATGACAGGTTGCCCTGTGGCATCAAGATTGTGAGTGGGTGGGGAAAGATTCGGAGAACACCCAGGCTGGTGGTGTCTAGTGGGCTTTCGGTCACTCTGTTAGTGGAAAGGAAGTTGGTGGAGGTGGTACTGATCATCTTTTGTCACAGGGCACATCAGAGGCCTGGGTTGATCAGTTCACAAGATCTGGAAACAACACGTCTGCCCTTGATGTAGAATTTGAACGAGCCAAGTCAGCTATAGAGGTGAGAGCAGCTGGTGTGAACACAAGTGCCCTAGGGCCATGCCCTCTCATGGGGAGTATGGCTTTGTTAGTGTCAGGGTGATGACCATTGTCTCATAATGGGTCATCCGTGTAGGATAAGTGCTTTTTAAAAAATGTAATTTCTTGGACATCATTCCACATTCCTGCATCAGTCTGGGGGTAGGGTCGGGGAATTTGCATTTTACAAAAGCTTCTCTGATGGTTGCTGACACATTGAAGTTTAGTACCTATAGCCCTAGGGACACACTCCAGTAGAGTGGGGGAGGGGTGGAGTGGCCATGAAGCACCGCCTTTTCTCTCTGCCCTCCTTCCTTACAGTCTGATGTCGATTTCTGGGACAAGTTGCAGGCAGAGTTGGAGGAGATGGCAAAACGGGATGCTGAGGCGCACCCCTGGCTTTCTGACTATGATGACCTCACATCCGCCTCCTATGACAAGGTAGGAGTCCCTGGCTTTCCAGGTTCTGGAATGGGAAGTTTCCATGCTGAAGCTGTTGCTGTTTTGGAGCCTATTTCTGTAAAGTCTGATGATACCTTGGCTCCTGCTGTCCAGTAATTGAATGGTCACGTGTTGTTGCGATTCGGTGGTTAGTAAGAATACCTCTGCACATCGCACAGTGATATAACGCCCATGAGGGGGCCTCACACACGACACACTAGGAACAGATGGGTAGGTCCTCTTCGCTGGTTGTACTGGGACAATTTATCTGCTGCTGGCCCCTCTGCTGGACAGTGGGAGTTGATGAATCATTCTTTGTCCATGCTGTGATATGTGCTTTCTTTTTACCTCATGAGTTCAAGCACCTGCTCCCCCACTCCCAAATGCTGGGGATCAAACCGGGGTGGTGTGTGCTAGAAAGGACTAACTATCCCATTGGGCTATACCCTCAGCTCTCATTTAACTATCCCATTGGGCTATACCCTCAGCTCTCATTTAACTATCCCATTGGGCTATACCCTCAGCTCTCATTTAACTATCCCATTGGGCTATACCCTCAGCTCTCATTTAACTATCCCATTGGGCTATACCCTCAGCTCTCATTTAAGCTCTGATCTCTTGTAGGAACAGGCTCTTTTGTCCCAATTCAGGATTTCAAAGAATTACATTAACTTATTTAAACAATAGGAACATTTCCAGTAGTCTATGGTGAAGATATTTGGATTTTGCATGTAATGTGAGCTTTTGGCTTAGATGTTTGTGAGTAAACCTGCTTGTGAGTTGCAGGATCACTGGGGACGTGACTGATAATTGAGCCTCTGAGTTGAAGCATGAGAGGGAAGACAGAATAGGAACGGAGTAATGATAGTTGGAGGTTTCTGTCCTGTCCCATCCCAAATAAACACACAGAAGTTTATATTAATTACAACTGTTTGCTGATGGCTCATGCTTCTTATTTGGCTAACTCTCTCTTAATTATTAACCCATTTCTATTAATCTGTGTATCTCCACTTTGTCTTGGTTTACTGGTGATGCCTGGCCCTCTTGTCCCTTGGCAGCTACATGGCATCTCCTCTCTGCCTTCTTCTTCCCAGCATTCTCCTAGTCTGGTAGCCCCGCCTATACTTCCTGCTTGGCTACTAGCCAGTCAGCATTGATTCATCAACCAATAGGAGAAACACATATTCACAGTGTACAGAAGAACATCCCCCATCAGAGTAACTCTTTCTCAGCCCTCCCTCTTTCTCAGCTCCACTGTGGAGGAGGAAGGACTGGACCCTGAGATGCGGAGCTGGGTGGTGGAGGTGGATTTCGACACAGGGAGCTGTGCCAAGGTGGGAGAGGGAAGTTGAGGGGCCGTGAGACTCAGGGACTGGTGAGAAGGGAGTAACCTGCTACAAGGGAAAATGGGACTATAGTATTGCCATCTGCTCTGGACTTGTTCAAGAATGGTCTTGTGTGGTACATTGAGGGCCTGCTTCGTTCTAGGGATCTCACCTTGTATTTTGCCACAATATAAATTCCTCTTATAGAGTAGCACTTTCATTGTCCTACATTAGCAATTCGATATGTTGTTAACTTATAATTGACATTTCCATACGTTTGATAAATGGAGATGTAAGTACTGCTTTCATATGGGTAATATTTTCTCTTAGTGTTTATTACTCTGGAAATTATGACATACTAAGCAGAATAACTTTTTAAATTTGAAGCTTAATTTAGCACTTATTATTAGCTCACAGGTCTTTCTGTGCTTTTTAGGGCTATTTATATTTTTGCATGTGTCTGTGGTGTGCACGTGTGTGCTGAGGTCAGGTATTTACATGAGGTGTCTTCCTTCATTGCTTTCCTCTTTCCTGCCTGGGGCGGGGCCTCTCTCTGTCTCCCTCCCTCCCTCCCTCCCTCCCTCCCTCCCTCCCTCCCTCCCTCCCTCCCTCCCTCCCTCCCTCCCTCCCTCCCTCTCTCTCTCTCTCTCTCTCTCTCTCTCTCTCTCTCTCTCTCTCTCTCTCTCTCTCGCCCCCAGAGCTCACTGACACAGCTGTAGTCTAGTTGGCCAGCTTGCCCTGCGGATCCACTCTCCAACTGGACCACATGATTGCCTGGGTTTTGCTCTCAGGAGTTGGGGATCCGAACTCTGGTCCTCCTGTTTACCTGCAAGTGCTTTATCCACTCAGCTGTCTCCTCTTCCCTCTTTATACTTTTTAAAAATTAAACTTTTTTATTGATAACCCTTAGATCACTGTTCACTGTTAGTGAAAGTGTTTCTGTGATATAGAGATGCTTTGAAGTGTGCTATGTCCACAGTGTGAGAGTTTGGAACAGCCCAAGGCAGTGGATCAGACAAGAGATGACTGGCTGGGTGAGAGCTTTCAGGATGTGTAGCAGTGCTCAGCTCCCATGCTCAGCTCTCTGCACCCTGTAGGCCATGAAGGGCTCCCTCAGAGCGTTCTTTCCCCATCCATGCAAATGCTTTCTTTTGCACAGGGAGATAGCAGTTCATTCCTCTTTGAGCAGTGAGACCTTAGAAACGACAGATTACGGGCTCGAGAGGAAACTCACGTGTGGGAGATGATTGTATTCATTTGTCACGTTGTCTTGTGGAGACGCCAGAACATTCATCACTGCTGACTGCTCACACGGGGGCCTTGTACCTTATGGAGGTAGCTACAGGCACTGTTAGTGAACAGGGTTTAAGACTTTTAGTAAGGCTCTCAGCCTTGAGGCATAAATTATTCATTAGGAAATTATATGTGATAACAATCTGCTTTCCACAGAGTGGTCTAAAGGATGGCTTGATGATGAACATCAGTTAAGATTGAGTGTGAACATATTTATTCTATTGAATTCAAATGATCTAGAGCATGTGTGACCTGTGGATAAGTGGATTTGCCACTCATTTGTAAATGGTTCAGTGGCTCAGAATGGTTTTAGCATTTTTAAATGACTGAAAGAAATCAAAAGAGTAATACAGTTTGTAATAACAAAAGATCAGTGTCCATGAGTAAAATTTGATAGTGACATAGCTATGCCCATTGCTTACATACCTCCTCTGGCTGCTTCTGCCCTCTTGTGGTGGAGTTGGGTAGTTGCAGTAGGACCTGTGTGAAGTATTATCGTCTGGTCATTTACTGAGAAGGCATGCTATTCCTTCTAGTAGGGTCATTACTGAATTTTTAATATTCCTAACTATCCATATGACACATTTCTCTCAAAGTCAGCTCCAGCAGCCAGTCTCGTGTTTTGAACCCCGCTGCAATTGTTAATTGTCCTTTGCATCGATGACTTGTGATGTAGAACATAGCCCTTCTGACTCTTTGTTTCACAATGATGAACAGGACATCTTGTCTTTATTCTGTAAGGTTTGCTGCTAAGTTCTCCATGTCTGCACTGTGTTTGAAACTGTTCACCAAACCATCTGGTGACGTGCCTGTGGTGTTTGTTCTTTTTTGTGGTGGTAACCTCCCCCAAAGAATATTTTACTTGTGATGGTAACCTCCCCCAAAGAATATTTTACTTGTCCAAAGCCTTGTGGCTCACCAGTGACGTTCACCTCATCCTGCTGTCCTCCTGTCTCACGTCAGATGCTAGTCGGCAAGCTTCTTAGGTGGCACTGTGACTTTCTCAGTGGAGAACCCCCAGCTGGAAGAGAACAGTGTCTTGTAGAAGCATTCTCTGACAGCCAGCTTTTGGGGTCCCAGTTGTATTTAAAGTCTAGAAGCCCAATATGGTGACTTATGTCTGTAATGTCAGCATTTGAGAAGCTGAGGAAAGAAAATAGCTGTGAGTCTGAGGCCAGCCTCAGCTACATGACACGACTCCGCCTAAAAATCAAACAAACAAAAATAAAAGAAACAAGCAGCCGGGCGGTGGTGGCGCACGCATTTAATCTCAGCACTCGGGAGGCAGAGGCAGGCGGATCTCTGTGAGTTCGGGACCAAGCCTGGTCTACCGAGCGAGTTCCAGGACAGCCTCCAAAACAATACAGAGAAACCCTGTCTCGAAAAACCAAAGAAACAAGCAAACGTAGTTATGGAGAATAAATTAAGCATTCTGATGTACCCCATCAGTTCATGCAGTCCCCCCAGTTGGACAGGTCTTGCAGGGCCTCTGGCTCTCGTGTCATGTGTGCGTGCGTCCCGTCACACTAGGAGTTAGGGCCTGAGGCGAGCAGTGCAGGCTTGGGAAATAAGTTGATGACCCAGCGTAGACACTTACATCCTCAGCCAGCTCGCTCTGCAGCCACTGCACTCGCCTTTGCTTTGTCATGGATGCTCCTCACAATTTGGGGACTTTGCTACATCTGAGTGGAAGCAATCCTTCACCTTCTCTGCCCGTTTTGGCTGCTGTTTTCCCAGCCGTGCTGCCCTGACTGCCTAGATCCCCTCTTGGAATTCTCCCTTCGATTCCCTCCCTTTAGGGGTACCAGTTTGAGGAGGAGAACCCGCTGCGTGACCACCCTCAGGCTTTTGAAGAAGGGCTGCGTCGACTTGAGGAGGGAGACCTGCCCAATGCTGTGCTGCTGTTTGAGGCTGCCGTGCAGCAGGACCCTAAGCACATGGAAGTGAGTGGGCGCCATCCGTTTTGTGGGAGGGCCCAGAGAGGCATGCCGATGGGGCATGGTCTCCTGGGGCCAGTGAGACAGCATGCCGGGGAAGCCCATGGGAGAGAGGACACGAAGTCAGTGATGGAACTGTCAACTTCTCTCTAGGCCTGGCAGTATCTGGGTACCACCCAGGCTGAGAATGAGCAGGAGCTCCTGGCTATCAGTGCCCTGCGGAGGTGAGTGTGCCGCTGTGAGGGTGCTTTTAGCCTAACAGACACCAGTTCCTTGTCTTTTCTGACTGCGAGTATACAAATAAACCCGAGACTGTCCACGTCAGCATAGCTCAGTAATGGCTAGAGGAGGGAGCAGAAGGCTTGATTCTGATCCTCTGTCAGCTTTGGGTGTAGTTGTGGGATCTTTCATATTAACTCGAAGGCCGGAGGATCCTTCTCCATGTTAAGCTGAGCAGGCAGAAAGGAGGCCACCATGAGTGTATTTCAGAGCTTGCCCATGGACCCCTGGTGCCGAGGGCTGCTGGTGTCCTTTGCAGATTCTCAGTCTGCTTCCCTTGTCAGGTGTCTGGAGCTGAAGCCAGACAACCGGACAGCACTGATGGCACTGGCTGTAAGCTTCACCAATGAGTCCCTGCAGCGGCAGGCCTGCGAGACCCTGCGAGACTGGCTCCGCTACTCACCAGCCTACGCCCATCTGGTGGCTCCTGGCGAAGAAGGGGCGAGTGGGACAGGACTGGGCCCCAGCAAGCGTGTCTTGGGATCCCTGTTGTCCGAGTGAGTGCATGGGGCTCCCAGGATGAGGAGGGTAATTGGAGTCCTAGTGAGAACATGACCTTGGTTTGGGCAGCTTCGGGATGCTGAGATCCAGCGATCTAAGAGTGAAATGGGTTACTCAGGGTCAGCTTGATGGAGCTCAGTGTTCTACCATGCACTGCTGGATGAAGCAGAGCAGACTGTGGAGTGGAATTTGGGTGAAGGAGGTGCACTGAGGAACCCTGGGATGCGGCTGGTTTTAAGGGGTTGTTTGGAGGTCAGGAATACAGATAGACCCAGCTCCCTACCTGTGCTTTTCTTCTCCTTACCTAGCTCCCTGTTTCTTGAAGTGAAGGAGCTCTTCCTGGCAGCTGTGCGTCTGGACCCCACATCCATTGACCCTGATGTGCAGTGTGGCTTGGGGGTCCTCTTCAACCTGAGTGGGGAGTACGACAAGGCCGTGGACTGTTTTACGGCTGCCCTCAGTGTCCGTCCCAATGTGAGCCTCAGGGGAGAAAGGTTCAAGAGTCATCCTGGGAGACTTCCTGAGAGTCTTGGGGAGACTGGGAAATGAAGGGGGGCCAGGGGAGAACAGGAGTGTCTGGACACAGAACGGAGTGGGTGACGCCACAGGGTGCCCTAGTGAGCACACCGGGAGCTACTGAGGGCAAGAGAGTGGGTTAGTAACCGACAGTAACCAGACAGTAACCAGACAGTAACCAGACAGTAACCAGACAGTAACCAGACAGTAACAGACAGTAACCAGACAGTAACCAGACAGTAACCAACAGTAACCAGACAGTAACCGACAGTAACCAGACAGTAACCGACAGTAACCAGACAGTAACCAGACAGACAGTAACCAAATAGTAACCAGACAGTAACCAGACAGTAACCAACAGTAACCAGACAGTAACCAGACAGTAACCAGACAGTAACCAAACAGTAACAGACAGTAACCAGACAGTAACCAGACAGTAACCGACAGTAACCAAACAGTAACAGACAGTAACCAGATAGTAACCAAACAGTAACAGACAGTAACCAGACAGTAACAGACAGTAACCAGACAGTAACCAGACAGTAACCAGACAGTAACCACATAGTAACCAAACAGTAACCAGACAGTTACCGACAGTAACCAGACAGTAACTAGACAGTAACCAGACAGTAACCAAATAGTAACCAGACAGTAACCAAATAGTAACCAGACAGTAACCAGACAGTAACCAGACAGTAACCAGAAAGTAACCAGATAGTAACCAAACAGTAACCAGACAGTAACCACATAGTAACCAGACAGTAACCAGACAGTAACAGTAACCAGACAGTAACTAGACAGTAACCAACAGTAACCAGACAGTAACTAGACAGTAACCAACAGTAACCAGACAGTAACAGACAGTAACCAGATAGTAACCAGACAATAACCAGACAGTAACCAGATAGTAACCAGACAGTAACCAGACAGTAACCAGACAGTAACAGACAGTAACCAAACAGTAGCGGAGTAGGCAGCACAATCGGCAGCAGTTGGTCCAGGCCTAACTCATATTCCCAGACCTCTCTCTCTGTCCCAGGACTATTTGCTGTGGAACAAACTTGGGGCCACACTAGCCAATGGGAACCAGAGTGAAGAAGCAGTTGCCGCATACCGCAGAGCCCTGGAACTACAGCCTGGGTATATCCGGTCTCGCTATAACCTAGGCATCAGCTGCATCAACCTTGGGGCTCACCGGTGAGTACGGGTTCCTCTGTGAACAGATGAGCCTTGCCTTCTTGGCTTTGACTTCTCGTGTTCTGATGCTCCCTCCCCATGCTCCATCTGCCTCACCAGCTCTCATTCCTGTTCCCTACAGTGAGGCTGTGGAACACTTTCTGGAGGCCCTGAACATGCAGAGGAAGAGCCGGGGCCCTCGGGGTGAGGGGGGCGCCATGTCAGAGAACATCTGGAGTACCCTGCGGCTGGCCTTATCTATGTTAGGCCAGAGTGATGCCTATGGGGCAGCTGATGCTCGGGATCTGTCTGCCCTCCTAGCTATGTTTGGCCTGCCCCAGTGACAGTGGGATGGGCTGCCCTGTGAGTGTCTGCCTAGAGGGGTCCTCGCTCTGGATGTGACTCCCTCTCCTCCAGTGGGCCTACCAAGGGATTGGGCTGATGACCACAAGCGGTACGACCTCTCAGGAGCTGCCCCGAAGTAGGGGTGCATAGTCTGTCCTCGGTCCTACATAATTGTAGGGAGTGAGCTGTCTCTGTCCCTTGGTAATTCAAGGGCTGTATATCTAGCTCCAGATCTCTTTCTGCTCATCATGCCCTTTCTTGGTGCTGCGTTTGGGTAGGACCCAGTGACATAGGGAAATTGTTGTCATCAGCTGCCATTTATGCTAGGGTCCACCACATTTGTAAGTCTCTCCTTGCCCTGCTCTTCCTGGGAATTGGTAACAGTCCAGCTTCCTTGGGCAGTTGATTGTAAGAGGTTCTCCCAGCAGCTGTGTGGGATGGATGCTAGCTGTTGGCCTGCTAACGGAAACGCTAACGCGCTCTCCAGAGCCCAGCTTGGGACAGGTGCTCGTAGTTGTGTCACTCATGGGAGTGAGCTGGCTTCTGTTCTCTGTGGTGGACTCCGAAGCAGTGGATGCTCATCACTGCAGGGAGCGTGGACGAGGAGGGGGGGGGAGGGAGACACGTTTGTGGAAGGAGCCCAGAGTCTGAGGCAGGACAGTAGGGGGTGTGGTCAGTCCTGAAGTCCCCTCTGCTCCTTGAGAGAACTGTAAGTAGGAACTGAACGAACTCTTGTAGCAAACTGGTTCAGAAGTTGTATTCTTGCCAAATTCCCAACAAAGTGTGTGTGTGGGGGGGGGCGGGGGGCTCCAGTGTTACCATTGAAAAATCCCCTCCCCCATATTACCTCCACAAGGTAAAGATCAAGGGACGCTGAGGGAGCCGCTGAATTCTTCACTGTCCTCTGTGTGGGGAGACACACACGCCCCCACAAGTGACTGCTAAGCCTCTTGCCTTGTCTTCAGGAGCTAATGATCAGAGATGTGTTTTTTTTTAAACTGCCATGATCCCAAGGTTCCATCCTGAAATTTATTTTTCTTTGTATGCATATGTGTAAATGATTTAAAAATAAAATGTAAAATATTTGTATGAAGAATAAACTGAGCTGGTGTGGGTAGGATTCTGCTGCTGGCTAATGCTGGGTGATGGGAGGCTGGTCAGTGTTTGGCAGATTAATGTTCAAGTTTTCCCTTCTCTGTCTTTTAAATTCTCACAAGCATCCATCCCTGCAGAATTATTGAGTGCCAGCAACCTGCCATGGTTCCTGGTGTTTTAGCCCTCCCTCCCTTCCTCCCTCCTCTTTTTTTTTTTAATTTTATTTTCATTGGTGTTTTGCCTGCATGTATGTCTGTGTGAGGGTGTCAGATCTTGGAGACAGGTACTAGCTGTCATGTGGGTGCTGGGAATTGAACCCAGGTCCTGTGGAAAAGTAGTCAGTGCCCTTAACCACTGAGCCATCTCTCCAGCCCCCTTTTCCTCCTCTTATATTTTTAAACATAATGTTACTATTACAAAGGGAACTGTGTAGTGCTGTGTAATCTTGGGTCTTTTTTGTCTTCAGTGCTGAGGATTTACTTTTGCTCTTAACCTACCTGGAATTTAAGCAGACGCTATACCACACCTGGCTGTACAAGTCCATGTGGTTCTGGGGTGGTGGTGCCATTAGCATAGCCCATGTGAGTGGCAGACTGCAGTGTGCATTGTGAAATCTATATGGCTATGACCAATAGACCTGTATGGGTGGCCACTTTTTCTTCTAGGTCTCTGCCTGGCTCTCCTTTATGTGTCCCTTTACCTGCCTGCTCATTGGCCATTGATGGTCCTCAGGACTCCATCTTTGTCCATCGTTTTAGGAGCCCTCATCTGTACCTGTGGGTGTGACGACCATATAATGCTGGTGACTGTCCAGCCTAGATCTCCACCCCAAGTTTCAGATACATCATGTACTGTTTTTGTCCCCCACAGAAGGATAGTTCCAGGCACTGTGGACTCAATAAGTTCAAATTATTTTTCTTCCAAAAATCTTGCATGTTCTTGGAAATCTTAGAAGACTGAATAGCTTTGTTCCTTTCATGTTACCCTGTAAGAGCCCATTAGACTCCTCCATGGTTCATGGAAGTCTGGGATTTAGGCCTTTAAAGATTTTTGTCTTTAAAGGTGGGGTGGGGGGGGTTGTCTCATCTTTTTCAGATTATTGTGAAAACTTGTCATCTCATTCACTCCTCATCGATGGCGCTGTTGCTCCACAGTGGCATTTGATACAGTGTCTGACTGCTGACTACACAATTGTGGACACATGCAGACATTTGGTCCCTGCCTGCTGAGTGAATAGTGTACACTGGAAGTGTGTTAAAGAATCAAGACATGTTGAATCGTGGAGATGCTGATCCATTCTTCTCTGTTTGGGGAGGATGACTAAATTTCCTGGTCACTGGACCTTGCTCCCTAGGGGAATGTGCCATGAGTCAAGAGTGCTTTTGGAAGTTCTACTAAGAGAGCACACTGAAGGGCTTATTCTCCCTCAGGACAAAGCCTCAGTGTGACCCACACTCACTTGCGGAGCAGAAGGGAGAACCTCAGACCTGGAGAGGGAACCCCACCGTAGGTGAGATGCCTATGCACAGGACAGCCTCAGAGCTCCCGGATGGCATGCCAGTGATGAACCTGGCAAGAACTCTTTGCAAGGAAGTCATGGCTTTGGAGACCGAGGCTGCCTCTGGCCACAGGGCTTATGTGCAGGTGGTGAGGGAACCTGATGCTGGCTGCCAGAAAGCAGCCGTTTGGGGAGGCTGACAGAAGACATGTTTGGAGTGAGTGGTCAGTCTTCGCTGCTGGCCTTACAGAGGTACAGGCATTCAGATGCACTGCTTTCTAATACTAGTTATGCACATGAGTTCTTCCCTGAACAATGACATGCTTAATTTTAATGTATTTCTGAGAATTTCGTGCTATGTATTTTGACCATATTCTTCCCCACTCAACTCCCAACTCCTCCCAAATTCCCCTGCACTTATTCAGAATATGCAATCAGAGGGTTCCAGGTAAGACAGTATATTAGAAGCTATCTCAATGTGACCCTATAAGGGAGAAGTCTGAATAAGAAAAAACTACTTTAAAGAAAGGGGGAACTTTGGAGATTCACAAAAACAACATTAGGATACCTGATAAGCAAGGAGAAAAGGATGGGCATTGCACAGGAAGGAAGTAATTCGAGGCTAGCACGATGGCTCCCTGGGAAAAGGTACTTGTCAGACAAACCAGACGATTCGAGTTTAAACCCTGGAACCACATAAGCTGACTCCAGAAAGTCCTCAGACCTCAACATAAAGGAACATTTGGAGCCCTGCCACTCATGTTTGAAGTCACTGGTACCCACACCTGATAAAGGCACAACAGAAAAGAAGAATTCTAAATCAGTTTCCTTGGTGAAAGTTGATACAAGATTTAATAAAATACTTAGAAACTAAATTGAATAAAAGAAAATTATGCATCATGACTAAGTTGGTTTTATTACAGGGATGGAGGTGTTCTGGCTTTTGGTTTTTTTTTTTTGTTTTGGTTTTTGTTTTTGTTTTTGTCAGTGGGACACAAGCTATGGTTATCTGGGAAGGGGAATAGCAAGTGAGAAAATGCCTCCATCAGATTGCCTGTGGGACGGCCTACCTCATCGAGGCCCAAGCCATCTTTGGGCAGTTCCTGCTTCCAGGCTCCTTCCTTCAGTTCCCTTGGCTTCTCTCTCCAAGTTGTTTTTGGTTAGTGTTTTATCACAGTAATAGAAAGCAAACTAGAACAAACATATGCAAATCAGAATTACGGGCCAGCACATAAGTAGACTCAAGAACAAAATCACAAGATCCATGCCCAAAGCAAGGGTAGGGGGGAGCCCTCTGACAAAGTTCAGCATCCCTTGATGGAAAAGCCTAGAAGACAATAGGAACAGAAGGAGCTATTTCAACAGATGGTGGACACCACAGACCTATAGCCAATATATGCTATGAGAAAATCTCAAAGTATTTCCTTGAAATTGAGGAACGAGACAAACAGGCCTACTCTCTGTTCTTACTCAGAGCTGGAATACAATGTTTGGATCTCACTTAGCCAGGGCAATAAAACAAGATACAGATAGGAAAGGAAAAGCCCAAATTATCTCCATTTGCATATGACACGATCCTGCACTTAAAAGACCGGGAAGACTCCACCAGAAAACTCTTACACCTGATAAACACTTCCAGCAAGTAAGGTGAAAAGAAACATAAAAACCTTATTCACAATAACATAAAAGAAAAAAAAAAAGCAGAGGAATAAACCTACCAGGGAGGTGAAAGACTTCTACAGTGAAAACTTTAAGATAAGAAAAATTGTGTGGTGGTTTGAAAGAAAATGGTCCCCAAAGGGACTGGCACTATTAGGAGGTGTGGTCTTGTTGGAGGAAGTGTGTCACTGTGAAGGTGGGCTTTGAAGTCTCATATATACTCTAGATACTGCCCAATGTCTCAGTTCACTCCTGTTGCCTGCAAGATGTAGAACTCTCAGTTCCTTCTCCAGCACGGTCTATCTTCATGCTGCCATGTCCTGCCATGGTGATAATCGACTAAACCTCTGAACTGTAAGTGAGTCACCACAATTAAATGGTTTTGGTAGTTGGAAGCTATTATGGGTTTCTGCCTGGTCCCCCTGGACCAGTTTCTCTTCACCCACTGGATCTCCACAGCGGCTTATGAGATAACCACTCAGAAACTTAATATATATTTATAATTGTTTGGCTAATGGCTTAGGCTTATTACTGGCTAGCTCTCTCTCATAAATTAACCCATTTCTACTAATCTGTGTATCACTGCATGACTGTGGCTTATCAATGATGCCTTGTATCTTGCCTCTCTGGCAGCTACATGGCATCTCCCTGACTCCACATTCTCTCTGCCTCTATCTCTGTTAGGATTTCCCGTGTGGCTTTACTCTGCTTAACCATTGGCTGAAGCAGCTTTATTCATCAACCAATAAAAGCAACACATATTTGCAACATACATAAGGACATCCCACATCAGTTTTCCTTTTTAAGTGTTGCCGTGGGGGCTAGAGAGATGGTTCAGTGGTTAAGAGCACTGGCTGCTCTTCCAGAGGACCCAGGTTCAATTCTCAGCACCCACATGGCATCTCAAACTGTAATTCTAATTCCAGGGGATCTGATACCCTCACACAGACATACATGCAGGCAAAACACTAATGCTCATAAAAAAAAGTTGCTGTGGTCATGGTGTCTTGTCATAGCAACAGAAACCCTAACTAAGACAAGTCCCAATGACATGCTTTATGTAATTAGGGGGGAAATCCTAAAATTGGTATGGAAGCTCAAAAAAACCCTGAATAACCAAAGCAATAGAGCAGAATGAGCAACATGGGAGTCATGGTGACAAAAACAGGGCTGTACTGAAAATATATGTCGACCGATGGAAGTGAATGAGGACCCAGACACGTCATACAGCTGTGACCACCTAAGTTTTGGCAAAGTTGTCGAAAATAAACATTGAGAAAGTCTCTTTAACAAGTGGTTCTAGGAAAACCAAATTTCCATGTGTGGAACAACTAGACCAGATCTGGATCTTTTACTGTGCACAGCAGTGAATTAAAAATGTGTCAAGAACCTTCATGTCAGGTCTGAGACTCTGAAACTTCGAGAGGAAAACACATATAAAAATATAAAATGAGCCGGGTGGTAGTAGCGCACGCCTTTAATCCCAGCACTGGGGAGGCAGAGGCAGGCGGATCTCTGTGAGTTTGAGGCCAGGCTGGACCGACAGCCTCCAAAACAATACAGAGAAACCCTGGTGGGTAAATCTAAAACACAACTCTGGCACCTAAGGCCCAGGAAACATGGAGGAAGAAGATGTGGAAAAGATTGTTTGAGCCGGAGGACAAGACACCATGCTGTAACATAGTGTCTTCTAGTAAGACATCTAGCGAAACCCATGACTGCCTAACACAAGGCCCAAACAATGGCAAGACCAGTGTGCATGCTAACAGAGAAGAGGGGAATTTCAAGAGGTCCGCACCCCTAGACAAAGAACTATAGGCAACTAATGACTGCTGAGAGAGAGGGAATTTGTCTTCCCTTGGGATGAGGCCCTAATTGGCTATACAGTACTAAAGTGGTCAGCCCTGAAATCATGTTAAATGCTAAACAGATCCAGCAGGTGGTATTTGTATATTTACTTGTGTGTGAGCATGCACAGGCACATGCACACACAGACACATGCACACACAGGCACATGCACACACAGACACACACACACAGACACATGCACACACAGACACATGCACACACAGACACATGCACACACAGACACATGCGCACACAGACACATGCACACACAGACACATGCACACACAGACACATGCACACACAGACACATGCACACACAGGCACATGCACACACAGACACATGCACACACAGACACATGCACACACAGGCACATGCACACACAGACACATGCACACAGGCACATGCACACACAGACACATGCACACACAGACACATGCACACACAGGCACATGCACACACACTCACACACACACACACCCCGATAAAAGAGGCCATGGATTTGAGAGGGAGTAGGGGGATATAAGAGGGATTAAGGAGAGGAAAGAGGAAATGATGTAATTATATTTTAACTAAAAATTAAAAAGAATATATAAAGAACTATAGTAATTAAGCTAAAACCACCAGTTTATATTTGTATTAACAATTAATGTTAAAGAACCATTTTAGGATGACATGGTTTTTAAAATTTTTTAAAAAACTTTTTAATTGATTCTTTGTGGATTCCACATCATGTATCCTAATCCCTTTCATCTCCTTGTCCCTTCAAGTCTGCTCTCTGCCCTTGCAGTCCCCCCCCACAAAAACCAAAACCCTAACATACAAAAAGAAAAAGTTTCCTCATAGAAGCTGTACCGTGGCCCACTGAGTCACACAGTAAACCCTTTAGCCACACATCTTACAAGTGTTCGTTGCAGTTAATCATTGGTCTGGCTTGAGTCCTCTGGCTTCTGCTGTACCTTTGATGCTGGGTCCTCACAGGGACTCCTCTTGACATCCTGTTGTTGCCCTGTGTCATGGAGATCTGACAGCTTTGGATTTGCAGGTGCTGCCCTTCACATGCTCCGGCGGTTTATAGATGAGGTGGAACTCATATCCCTCGTTCTGGGTCTGAGTGGTAGCGGGGTCGGTCAGCTTGCCAGCTTTCCCTTATGTACACCACCAGGACGAGCTCTCCAGCCTTCCCCGGGCTAGTTCACCCACTGCAGTAATCGGCAAGGAGTGGGGCCAGGTCTCCTTGTGTCCCCACACCATCATGGCCCCCTCTATTGCTTTGCCCAGGCGAGGTGCAGGGCCAGCTCTCCTGAGTGCCCCAAGTGGGGGAGGGCATTTCGCCAACAGGGTCAGCTCCATTGTGTTAGGATCTCCCCTGCCCTACTCCACCGTGTGGCGGATGAGGGGTGGGGCCAGCTTTCTCACACATATTCACTGGGCCAGATCACCTGCACCCCCACCGACAGGGTCAGCTCGACTGTGCTGCCCAGGCAAGGTGCAGGGCCACTCTTCTGAGTTTTGCAGTTGGGGGGGGGGTGCAGGACCAGTTCTTCCCAGTGCTGCAGTCAGTGAGGGGTGGGGACAACTCTGTGCAGTACTGTCCTCACTGTCTTCCGTGGGAACAGGAGCCATGGACATCAACACAGACCGAGGCAGTGGCAAGACCATGGACCCAGACATGGGCCTTGCCAGCAGCCAAGGCAGAGATGACTCCATGGCCCTGGGTGGTAGTGCAGGTCACTCAGATATGTATGGCCACTCAGACACTAACATGGCCCTAGGTGGTGGCCCAGATTCTGGCCATCCACCTGGCCATTGGTGGCAACGAGGACCATGGGTATCAACACAGACCCTGACTACAGTTGCACCATGGACCCATTCATGGTCCTTGTTAGCAGCTGGGGCCAGAATGTCACCATGACCCCTATTGACAGTACAGGTTACTAAGATTGGCATTGACCCAGTGGCTGTATGGTCCCCGAGTACCATGGCCTCAGGTAGTAGCCCAGATCTCAGGCATCCTCACTGTCCTTGATGGCAACAGGGGCCTTGGACATCCATGTAGACCCTGACTACATGGATGTGGTTGAACCATGTAATCCAGACATGGCCTGGCCACAGTTCTGCTGTAACATGAAAAATAAATGACCCAGAGACTGATACCGGGGTTCAAGCTTTAAACCGAGTATCAGAAAAGCAAAACAGCTGCCACTAGCTTCTTACCTGTACCTCAGGCTGAATGGGCTGATCCTGTCTCCACAAGCTCTTACCAAGCCTCAGGCTGTAACCTGTCTTCAGCATGTCTAGAGAACAAATGCCTCTCTGAGACCTTGCTTCTGTCTTATATACTTCCCTAATGTTGGGATTAAAGGTGTGAGCTACAATTCTCTTTTGGACTCATTCC